AGCAGTTTCTTCTTCCTCCCTGACGAGCAGTAGAAGATTCTCCGGTATCATGGACATGGAAGTGCAAGTTTTCACCCCTATCAAAAACTGCAGTTCCCAGTGTGTGTGTGTGTGTGTACTTTTCTGACTGTACTGTACTGGTGTGCTTACCAAGCAGGGTACTGGTGTGTCTGAAGGCTCTGACCTGGGAGTCAGACAGGCCAGTGAGCAGGGCCAGCAGGGAGGGGAACAGGTGCTCGTCATAAATGAGGCTATTGCGACACGAGCGTACCAGAACCCGAGCAAACTCGCACAGGCCGGCTTTGAAACGCTTCAGCTGGGGGCCTGGAGTGCACAGAGGGTAGTTGACTGAATCCTAGAGGATGAAAGGAACCAAAGAAATAATGGAAGAAACCTATTACACTGTGCTTGGTGGAGCTATTTGAGGCAGAAGCCTCTGGTTTGCTCCGCTAATGACAATTACATCAGTGGCAAAACAAAGTGATTAGCTCATTAATGTGTCCGTTTATCAGCTTTAGATTTTAATTAGTGTGTTCCATCACACTGTACTCCCTCCTTGGGATTATAATCTCCTGGGATACGGAGGTTGTTTGACCTTTTCAGCAAAAGATTATTACAAGTGAAAAGGGAAGACAAACACATTAGATTAAAACTTGCAGATGTGTAAGAATAATCTTTAATATTTTTAGGATTTTTTTAAACAAATCTAAACTATGTCTGCATTAGTTTTTTCTCACCTCATTGAATTCTTTGGTTAATGTGCCGATGATCTCAGCATTCTGCATGCTGTCAAACATCTCTCTGCTAACCACGCCTGGACAAAAGAATGAAACCTTAACACAATGTTGAAAACAAAGTGAAAATAAAGTGAAATAAACAACAAACATAGATGAATGTAATAATACATGAATTCTGGTTCTTCTATTTGACCTAAAAGTTAAAGCACATGCTATGATTTCTTCTCATTTTCATTCTACTCTCACAAAATATTGATATGGTGTGTTGTCAACAGACAGAAGATGAACACAGCTCCTGGACAGTGCATCGTTACCATACTGCCTGATCAATAGTTGACTGCTGATCATTGCCTGAGCTGAAATTGGAAAGATAATCTCTTGAACTTTGATCCCCACCCCTCATCTCGTGGGATTTGCTGTTGACCTCTGACCTTTGCATCCGCAGGACTGAACAATGAAGTTGATGAGCACCAGCAGCCCCGCCTCTCGGCTTCGCTTGTAGCTGTCCAGCCACTCATCCACCACCGTCTAAGGATTGACAGGGAGGTAGCAGCCAATGTGAACGCTGGGCTCAGATCAAAGGGCAGATGGATATAATAACAGTATATCAATTGAATAACATTATGGATGCCAGCATTAACCTTTCTTCCTACCACCGGCCCTTTCGTGGTTTCTCTCTCTGGGTCTGTATGCCCAGACTTTCTCTCCCGCCTATATTTTCTGCCCATTGTAAATTCCAGTTTTATTCACAATCTCCTTTGCATAATCGTTTTTGGCAACCATAAACACATAAGAAAAGACACCACTTTAGAACATCTGTTGCGTTGATAATCACAGCGTAACAGTGTTTCTTAAGTGTAATAAAATGGAAATGTAGAAGAAGCATGGAGTTACATTTAGCCAAGACCTGAGAAACCTTTGTGTAACAGAGTAACATTTCATGAACAGCAGTTTGCCAGATTTGCTGAATGTGTTGTACCAAAGTGGGCCTTCACCCAGAATCACCATCTGCATTGTGTTGCTGCTCTATACTGTAGTGACAGACCCTTTTTATTGCTGCTCACCACACTGTTTTGTCTTTCTATTGTTATGTGGTCCTTCTTTTCTAGTCTTTAACCAGGAGAGACTGGCCACAGCACAACAATGGTTGGGATGGACACATGCTGTCAATCATTCACTACACAACCCAGTAAAAACACTTTTTCATCTCCGCGTATCAAAGGCAACTCTGTAGGGTCGCATCAGTCAGCCACTGACAGCTGATGATAATCTCTCATTGTCGGCTCTTAGAGTCTTGTTTCTCTTCCTATTACACATGCCTCCTTCAGCACCTCCCTCCCTTCATGTGTTTATCTATGCAACCCCTTCCCCCCTTCCCTCCATGCTCTTCAGCTTCGGGTTTGCTCACCACCATGGCACTCTTTCCAGAGCGGACAGCGTCGTAGATATCCTGTGCACTGATGCCCTGGTTCACTGTCGTCGCAGGTGTACGAGAGGCCTGACTGCGTGTCCCCCGGGAGTGCTGCTGCCGCTGCAGGGAGGTGTCTGGAGGAGTGGGGATGGGGCTGCTACTGGGGCTGGACGTCACCCTCAATGCAGCTTTACGTCTGGGTCTCTTGGGTGGCTTGAGATGAAAGAGAGATGGGAGGGCAGCAAAGCGGGGCGTTTAAAGTGAATTGATGTAGTCGAGTGCGTTAGTGGTAGCCACGGAAAGATATGGTGTAGGTCTGAATCGAACATCCACCACAGTGTTGCTGTTGTTATGACTCGGGTTAAGCCCGTTTGATCTTTTTGATCAAGAATAATAGAATTAATAACATAAAAAACAAAGTTAGACAAGGTTAAAGCCTCGATCTACTTCTTATGAATCATCTAAATCAATGAACTGTTTCCAGAGAGAATAAGATCATTTACCTGAGGTCCAGGCACTGCTTGCTTTCTCCGCTTTGTGACTTTAATCGTAGCGCCATAGTCACTGCCAGAGTCTGAGAAGTCATCAAACTCCTCAAGACTAATAGACAAGTGAGAAAAATCAATCAAGACGAATCTGAGCATCAAAAATAATTATTAGGCTAACAAGACATCAGAGTGGGGCAGGTATCGTCATTTACCTGTCCAATACTGAGTCTCCACTTGCCATTTTGGGGTCAAAGAGCAGCCACTGCTGGTGAGACGGTGTTTGAGCAGACAGACCTGCTGCATGGAGGGAGACACGATTAGCTACAAGGCTAAAACGAGCTAACATATCTAACATTACGTTACGGTACAGAAACGTCCATTATAATTCACAACACAACACTTTTTATATAGACAGATTATAAAACGTCTTTGCAAAGGCAATCTAGTCCGATTATAAGTTAGCTAACAGTTAACTATCTTAACTTTGTTATGTAATAAAGATATCATTGGTTGCTAAGGAACAAGACCCATTAGCAACCATCCCTGAATATAGAAAACTTCAGCTTTTATACTAGTAGCTAGCTAACGACTACAGCGAAAATTGATCAATAATCATTAGTAAACTAATTAATACATGATTATTACCACCTGACAATCGATTACTGATCAGATTGGCTCTTCGTCACCGGCAGAGACTCAAGGGCGCGAAAAGGTACGCAAAATGATTCTGGACGCTGATTGGCCAGCGCCTCACCAGCTCAGACGGTGATTGGTCCTTTCAGAGGGCCACTTGATGCTCATTGGTCAGTTCTGCCATGCTTTATATCAGAGTACAAGAATACAGTTCTTATATCAGTCTTAAGTTTCTACATTTGCTGTAACCTGTCTGTCTGTCTGTCTGTCTGTCTGTCTGTCTGTAGGACCCTGAGGTGGTTGGCTCAGCTGTTCCCCGCCCCCCCACCGCAGGCTCCTCACCCTCCTCACCCTCCTCTCCCTCCTCTCCCCTGACGGCCTCCCTCTGCACGGTCCATTGTTCTGTTTGACCAGAGTCAGCGAGCAGAGGGGAGACACAACGTCCGGTCCGAACCTTCAAAATAAAACACTGACTGCCCCATATTGGTTAGTGAGAATGACACACGTATAAACTCTCAGTGGGACATAAGTCTTGAATATAAATTATAAAATGAGTATTTCCATTTCCCCCCCAATGTTCAATAATGATGCAAACTGACAGATCAAAAAATAGTTGTATATTGTGCTCAACGCTGTCAGCAAGCAGCATCAGTGTCAACCATTTATCGTAAAAGAAACCCTTTTCATATACACATACATAAACTGTAGGCTATTTGTGAGAATGACATAGTTTCAACTAAATCTCAAATCTTCTGAAACCTTAATGAAAAAAAATGTTAAAACGTCTGAAAAACGAGGAGATTATCCAGGAAAAACCAATGCTTGCAATTGATGTGATTTGGTTATGCAACCTAGTTCCACGACCCTGTTCACACCCAGAGGTACAAACATTTTGAGCCCTCTAAAAACAGTTTATCCTTCAGGCTCTTCCGGTCTGTCTCTGTGCCACATGTGCTCTCAAATTTGATGGAGGATCTGACACTACTCAACTTAAGTACAAAAACAGTAACACGGGCGGATTGGATTACAGTGAACCTTAAATCCCATTTTAATTTATTTGTAGTAGATCATGTTGGCAAATCTATCCCTTTAACCATTAATTCTGTTCTACTAAAACTCAATCACATGAATGGTTTGTATTGTCTTTTTACAGTTGATTAAATAGCAAATGTATATAGAAATGAACACAAAAAAAGTGTTTAGAGGCTTAAAATGTGGCTGACAGCCTTCATTACATTTGGAATTCATATTGTAGGACTAGTCATTTATATCTTTATATTATTTTATTCTCATGTTCAGTTTATTTAACTTTAGCAATTTATTTTAAAATGTTTGTGTCTTCATGAGAAATTGCGTTACAATCAAACCGGCCTTTGTTTTTATTTTGAAAACAGTCCCCTTTCCGGTACTTTCGCGCTAACTCCTGTGAGCTTGGCGCAGTTCAGCGGTTAGATGAGGCTGAGGGACGGGAGTGCCCCACTCACGCTCCCTTTACATTGACGTACGGCAGCGGATCTCCCAGGAAGGACAAATTAACTGGAAACATACGTGTGATGTAAAAAAGAACAAATACCGAGCCCGGATGCATCAGTTCATTGCACTTACCGGGGAAACAATGAGCGCTTTAAACGACTGACTGTTTGGGATACTACTCTTTATACTTTTGCATCTAAACCGGCCGCTCATTAATTTATAAAGAGGTGCTGCACCCTCAGTCTGGTTTGATATAAACCCGCCCGCTCCCCCAGCCTGCTGTCGTTTGTTCCAGCGGTGGAGATGGATACCCGGCTGTCTCTCCCCAGGTACCCGCTGCTGGTGCTGCTCTGCTCGGTCTGTGCGCTGTCGGGGACACGAAGCCCAGTGGCCGCTGCGGGGAGGAGCTGCGCCGACACCCGGCAGGTGTACGCGGAGAAGGGGTACAGCACAGGCACCGCACCGCTGACTCAGATCTCCGGTAAGACTCTGCATCGAGCCGGCGGAGGGGATGAATTACACAGTTCAGACAGTTTTCACACAGAACAGCCAGGCGGTCATTTTAAAACATGTTTCTAATTCAAGTTTATAATAAAAAACGCATGTCGCAGCAGATCTGTAGGCGCGTCAGCATGCTCTAGTTAGTCTCAACAGGGACAAAAATACCCCTCTGCACATTAAGGTCACTGTAAACTCGCTGCCCAGCACCACAGATAGACCACAGATAATCATGGGAATATTAATACTCGGGCGGACATTAATTTAAACAACAAACACACTCCAAGGCACGCCAGGAAAGTGAGATCTAAAAGTGCAAGGTGGCTCAAAACTCACTAATAAGCGGCAGAGACACAATGTGGGGAATATCATGGTGAGCTTTCCTCCAGAGAAATAACGCAGGGTGGTTTAAAACAAATTACACCCGCCCCCTCCTCCCCTCTGTGCTGTTTAAATAGGATGATTAAGGGGATGAGCAAATTGCCAACACCGGTGCAACAAAGAACCTCGCCCCTAATTAGTCTTTGCCTACTGGCCCACTGTTAAATCCCTGCGTATACCCACAGGCTCTGTTCACCGGTCATAATCTTATCTGCCGAATGAAAAGATATCATGTGGATCACAAACAGTTTTGGATAATGTGAAGTTTTGGTGGTGAGGGATGGGTGGGAGACAGGAGAGGAGAGGAGAGGAGAGGAGAGTGGGTGGAAATGTGTTTAAATGTGAACGTCTGACAAAGTGAGAGGGAGCACATGAGTGTCTGAAAATGTAGCCTACTTCATGGAGGTTCAGCTTTGCATGTAAATCAGTGAGAGGAGGACTGTGTGTGTGTGTGTGTGTGTGTGTGTGTTACCCACAGG